CGCACCAAAGTGGATTGGATTTTCCGGAAAATTGGTGAGTGGTGCACTAAGCTTCAGTTGATCTTTCTTTGTGTCATGGTATTTTTTGACGACTTAATGGCCTAAGTTTTCATTAAAAACCGAAGTATCACATCGGAGTTTATCACCTCAAAGTGATCGTGACGAACCGCAGTTCGGTTATAATAGAAATAATAATAATAATAATAATAGTTATTAATAATATGCTTGTCACTATTCATGCTGGCGATGTGCAATGAGTCACCAACTTAGCCATTCCTTGTTCCTTGATCATCAAACTGCAATAAGATCCAACCATTTTCGATCAATACTACGGTGTTTTTCTGGTCGATACGGAACTGATTTCAACCGATTTATCAAACAACATTTTGCATTTCCCTACAAAACCGCAATCGGTGAATGTGTAATACAGCCAATGTACGTAGGAGAAATCAAATAAGAGACAAAACATTTCAATGCATCGCAATTGATGTTTACTGTTTACTGTTACTCAAAGGTTGAGTAACGACAGCATCGCCTATAAGAGCGAGTTGGCTATTGGTTTGATAAATTTGGTTGTGATAAAGATCCGATTCCACTTTGAATAGCAGGGAGACACCGAGAAGAGAGTACGAGTAGTAAAACAATTATTAGTAAGGTGAATTAGTTAATAATTAACTCATTGTTTACTGCACAAACCATGGAATTAGCGTTTGAAATAGTCGGTCGATGTCATAATTGGCTCATTTTGGAATCAATTGATGCATTAATTCAATGATGAAAAGAATTTCAATTTATTACTTTTGTCATTTTCTTTATCAGAAAATTTCAACATGATGTGAACAGTTTCTTCGAGTGGTGAAAGATAAAATTTTGAATAAAGTGAATGAATTGCAGATGAGAAGACGATGCTATATATATAAGGTTTATGTTACATTCACTCAATTCTTCAGTCCATCAGCGTTCTTATTCGGATTATGTGAAGCTAAAATACTGTTTGCAAAATTATTGGTTGTGCAAAACAGTTTCAACCCAAATGAGATTAGCCGCTCAAGCCACGTTAAATCAAGTCAAGCACAATGTAAATGATGTGGTTTCAGTAATCGTTGAAGTTTATAGCACACGGAATTGCAAAACATGTTCAAAAATGCCGCAAGCTTTATAAAAACAAATTTTAATAATCCAACGTAACGGTTTTTCCTTAAAACTGACAATAAGCTGTGCCAATTCGAGCAAAACATTAGCGGTAACTATGCTTTTGTCGTAGCGATGGCACAAGCCGCGGGAAAGTTTCAATTCGCAACATGTTAGATTATTCGACATGGATTTGGTTAGTTCATCATGTTGTCACTGCACGACAGCTCACAAAAACGAAAGTATCTAACACATATCCCTGATCAACTGGGAAGAGAGTTAATGGACCTGTAGAATAGAGTCAGCTCATACCCTTTTAGCCTACCCATCCGAAAGGTTGGCGGTGGGGTGAGGTGGGGTGGGCATGTACAATAGCGATACAGCCAATGGTAAGAGTGCCAGCCGTCACTGATTTGAAACATTAGGTCTCTTAAGTCTGAATGATTAAACCGAGAACAGGCAAACCATCAACAGATTGAACCGCATCGTTGGGAGGATGTTAAGCAAGCCGTTAAGAGCACGATCATTTTGACTACCAAAAATGAAAATACCAAACCAAATTTCTGAAAGATAGTCCGAATCAAATTGTCAGCTAGTATCTACCCGCGTTGAAATCCCTTTCGGTCTCAAAATTGTCTCCCGCTATCACAATTCATTCATAGCAATGTCTTTCAGCTTTCCTTGAGTAATCAAAATGCACGCAAGGCTGGTGCTGGCGGTATTTTAGAATTGTGTATATTTTGACTACTTACGGAAAACTAAAGGAAGTTGCTATGGATGAATTGTGATAGCGGGAGACAAATTTGAGACTGAAGGGAATTCAACACGAGTAGACACTGGCTGTAAACGTGATTCATGTTATCTCGCACGCACATTTTGTTCAGTGTTTTCATTTTTGGAAGTGAAAATGATTGTGCTCTTACGACTTTCTACCCACAATGCGGTTCAGTCTGATGGTGGTAAATAATGACATTTAAATGTCACATATTCTACAATAGCCACGGTTTTCTTCTTTAAAAATGAAATCCTATTTACTAATGGCACAATCAGGAGGATACCTTTATACATATTTCCAGATCCAAGTACCTTTAGAGTGCAGTTTTCTCTCAAACGGTTATTTTGTTTCGTACCAGTACTCAACCACAGGACAAAAAGGTATCACCTATTCAGTCATTTCAGGCCTCTGAATTTCAATTGGATACTGTCAGGCCAAATTAAGACCGAGACTCTAGTTAGGTGCTACGCTTTAGCAATGCACACTGAACATAAAAGGCTCTACATATTCGATAATTTGCTACCGATCACGAATGAATGTATCCGCGCCGCTTTGTTTGTTTCTATCATCTGAAATTTAACAAATTAGTGGCATTCCTATCAAAACTGTACAGTTGCTATTCGGGAAGGGAGTCTCGGTTAATGTGGAGGTTACCAAAAGGTAAGTGAAAAAGCGGGGTGACGATGGTGATGTAATGGGCTAATGCCCAATACCATGCGATCACCACATTTTGTCAGGGTTTGTTCATCAAGCAACTCGGTACTGACGTGGTCACACAATATTAGTTACCAGCAATCTACCATGTATGTTCCTGGGGCGAATTTGTACCTCAGACAGCAATCGTACAACAGATCATGTTTGTATTCTGGAAGTGATAAATGGTGACCGAATGCAAATATCACGGGGAACAGCAAACACACCCATCGAAAAAGAACTCACCACTGGATCTTACTTTCTGAGAGTATTTAAACTTGCACTGTGCTCCTCTCATTGAGCCGGAGATTTACAAATTTGCCCAGAGATGGTACCGGTTTGAACAGGTCGATGAATTTTGCGTCTAATTTCATTTGACTATCAAGAATGATACTAAACTATGGAAATCATACATTTGATGCCTGTTAGAATAACGAATCAATTGATAATGAGAATAGTGCAGAAACATCCATTCAGTTAGATCACTTCTCGCTACAAAGTCGAAGGATTTCGTCAAATAAGCCGTGAAACACTACATCGCTTTTAGCTCTTCCCCCATGTCACACTCATTAGAAGCAACTTGTTCGTCAAATACAGCATCAGAGTAGTCTCTTCATTTCACTAAGCTTAGCCACTTACGGTGGTCAGAGGGTTAACATGTCTTGCCGTTACTTAGGTGCTCACGGGAGGGGGGGCGTGATCCTCGTTTGACACCCAAAACAAAGTTAGTAAAAATACAATTACTGCCTTCAATAGTAAAAAAAAGAGCAGAATCCAATCGCAGTGATGTTTGGTGCGTTTTGGTAAGCACATATTTATTGGTTTATCAAAGTCCCTTTGAAATAACACAAGTAACATAGGTATACCCTCGCACAAACTCTTCCCAGTTAGTCATACCTGTGTTGATAAGTTCCATTCTTGCTTAGCCCACATACATGCATTGAATAGCCCGGTCATAATTTTGCACATTGACAGAATTAAACAGTACATAAGCCGTATTGTATTTGAAGTAAGATTTCACATCAAGGTGTATTCAGTCGTACAAGTGGCAACAGCTCATTTTTGTCGGTCCGCACATGACTGGTCGGTCGTTCTCTCGACTTCATGAGTGTTGACCATTTTATTGTTTCATCGATCTGGCCTTGTAAATCGATTACTCAGGCCGTTTTAGTTCGATAAATTTTTCTTTCTGACTTGAGATAATCGAACTAGAAGTTATTCGGATATAATAACTTTCTCTGTGACAACTGATCTGTCATGAGGTATAACGAATCGGTTTCGGGAGTAAATCTCGAACAGCAGCATTTATTCAACGGAATACATGTAAAATTTCAACAAAGTGCACCAATAAGATTTCATCATTTAATGATAAATCCTAGTTATGTTTCATCTTGCTGAATTTTTTTCCAGTTTCTCGTCAGTTGGGCAAGTGAATTGCCCTTTCTGAACGGCTGCATTGCACGAAATGAGCATAGAGTTTGTCAGTTTGCAACCAATTCTGAACCAGAGCTATTCAAGCCATGGCTCTTTGATGTGCCTTCCCACCGCGCAACCGCCAACATCGCCAACACTAACAGCATCATTACCAATAGAGCCACCTTCAACGCCCTATTGCTCCGTAATGCAAGAAGTTATAGCTACCGATCATTGGGATCCATCATCCTGGTGGAGTCGATTTCCCCTCCTACACAGGCTGCCACCACCATCACCTCAGCGACATTACCCCTCCCCTGTGGTAACTGTGAGCACCAAGGAAGAGCCAGGTATTGGTGACGTGGTCAATAGCAGAGGTCTTTCCGCTGGTGAGGAAATTAAGAACGAACGAAGAATCCCAGGGCGTCAGGAAGACGGGACCGATTGGACAACTTTTGCCTCATCCCCCAAACCACCACTACATCGGGCTAATTCGTGTACAATGACAGTTAGGAAAACATCCCTCACCGATTCCGGTTTGTCTCCAGTCCCGTTTGTTTCCCAACAGTTATCTTGTCCGACCACCGAGTTGCCTACTCTGCCACATTGGAGAATACAACCCATCTGTGCGGGTTGCGAACAAACCATGGACTCACAGAATCCCTGTCTTCGCTTATCCGACGGTCGTCTGTGGCATATGGATTGTCTTGTCTGTGCACATTGTACGAAACCACTTCATCTGGACCGAAGCTGCTTCTGTCGAGATGATCAAATTTACTGCAAAGATGACTACCAAAGGTGATTTATTAAGTTGCTACTCACCGTAACATTTTCTAATTTTTCGAATATTGTTTAATATTTAACATAACTGATGATATGTGAATTTGCTTAGAACAAGTTACACTATATGAGGGACATTCATATTGGCCATCAATTTCGCGTGCTCTCAATTAGTGGTCTACGCATATGAAATAGGTCGGAATGATATAATAGGAATGATATACATGGCTGTTTGTGTTTCTTATTTTATTCGAATGGATCAAAGTAAAAGGATGTTTCTGACAAGTTAATTGGCAAATAAGCCAAAACAGATTAGATGTCCATGAATTGAGAGAACATTTTACGTCTCAGTTACCCTGTTTGAAGAGGACGAATAACCTTGAGGGTACCAACCGACACGTGTGACTGGAAAGTTAGACCTGCTAGGCGGTGGGATGGAGCTTAGAGTTTGTTATCTAATGGAGGCCGGTACCTGGATTATTGGATCATACTCCATTTGGACGGGGTCAATCGCTTGGTGTGTTCAATAAATCTCAAGCCTAAGTCAAGCGAGTGATCACTGCTGGACTCTGGAAATTGTGCATGTGGTTCTTGCATTTCTTTATAGTTTATTTCAAATCACAGATTGGCAAACTGTCGGTAGTTGACTATATAGCTGATGTAGCTGATGATAGCTGATGTTGACCTTTTGTCTGTTCACTTTGGTAAAAAATACTGCCAGGTGAATTTCAACATAGGCTACCTGGGGCGCATGGTTTTATGGAAGTATTTCTCCAAATAGAACGAAAATGTGACCAGTCAGAACCCAAGACATAAACGCCGATTACAATGAGGCCTTCAAAATGGGTTCGACCGGGTAGGTTATTCAGAAGAAACCGATTTTTTGAGTTAATAGTTCGGCTTCAGTAAGTGCAACCATTAACCAGTCAGTAGTTAATGGTTCTTAATTAGAACTCTTCAGGAAAAATCAAATATTTATATGCACAACAATTCACGTCTTTTCAAACCTAAAATCTTGTGGATCAATGACATTTGCTATTGAAGATGTTGTACTTTGAACGATACTGGACGCTGTTTCGGAGACTAAAGTGCAACTCTGTGAAACCTTTTAGTCCGAGGTAATTTTCAGATTGAAAATGAGGCTTTGCGTAGGCCAAACACCATAGAATCCAGTTACATCAAAAAATGAACAACGGACGTTCGTGAAAAAGTGGCCTTCATTCCGGCTTACCATTTGAGTGAGAAGCAGAGTAAGAGGGTAATTAAATCGCCATGAAGTCCTAACTTGTGGCCACTGGTAGCCCCAGTTGGGGAGTCTGGGACATCAAAAAGAGAGCACTACCTAGGTTAGAGAACATGTGCTACTGTGCCACATGAACAGCATGCTGTCTGGCACACTGATAGCATAAGGTTCGGATCTGAGAATGGACAAACTAAAAAGGCATTATTGACAACATAAAACACATGAATGGCGAAGAAATAGGTCTGCGGGAATTGTTCGAGGTCCTATCACTTTGAAACAACTGACAGATACGCGCATAGAGACTTAAAGAGCACCTGAACTAAACTAACTCTGTCAGAGAAAGAGTGAAGTGCTTGAATTGTGAGTGTGGCAGCAAATGCACAGCACAGAAATAAGTTCCAGACCACAACCTAAAATGATTTTAGTCTAAAAGACAGAAATCGGAATTTCAGTTTTGTGGGGCTGGTTGAAACCCACCGTGGAACACAATAAAACTTAGGCATTGTTTCTCGCTTGCAATGTGCATTTATTAACTGGTTATACTCAAGATAACTGTGAGACTTTGTGGAGCAGAGTAGCCATTCTATGTCTTACAATTTATGGTTATGCTGTGTACAGTTACTTCAAGGTTCCTCGGTGTGTGTGTGTGTGTGTGTATGTATGTATGTGTGTGTGTGAACCTACTGGATTGGTGTCAACTTTGGTCAAACATGAATAGCTAATATTGGTGGTGTTCTTTCAATTTAATGATGAGGTATACTCTCTAACTTCATAGTTTTGGATGATTTTGGATAAAGCTCATACCGCTCGTACGAGTTGAATGAATAACAACTCATCGACATTGTGTGAAGCTTCTGTCTAACGAGGGACCGATGAAAAGGCTCACTCAGTCCTGATTTTCAACACTGATCCAGCAACACAGAAGCATTGTAGTTGAGCGGTTCGGTGTACGTAGGCCAGCATTTTTTGAAATATTTTATTTGTTTGACACATACAGAGAAGTGGTGAAATAAGGTAGATACATATGAAGTGACCAGTTGTCATTCGGTCAAAAGTAGAACACAAAATCACACGCACTCACACGGATTCGATGAACAGTAGAAACATCACACAGAGAACAGGCAAGCCACGGAGGAAAATGCACCTCCAAGACACTAAGCGTTTGACCAATTGTTCCAAGCTACCTATGCGGTTTGATTTAGTTTAGTCCGATGCTTCGTAAACAGATGTTCTTTTCACGCTCATTATCGTTGCATTTTCACCTCGGATTGATAGAGCATGTGTTGTGGTTACTGTTGTCTGGGCAGAATGGAAGTAGCGGACAGGTGAACAGTGGTGATGTGACGAGATGAGGGTAAGGCATGCGTGTGTGTGTGGGTTTGGGTGTGGGTGGGTAAGATGAGAGAAATTCCATTGAACAAGTCGCGTTGAC